AAACTAAACATCCTACAGTATTTTTACAGTCTTTATTTTACAGTTAAAATTTATGTTTATCATATAAAGTCTAATGTTACAACTAATCAGGGATCCCTTTTAATGTCTTTTTTTCTTTTCGTTGTGACCTTTTTACTCAAATACAGTATGAGCTTGTCAAACACATGACTCCTCTTACAGTAATGTTTGGTCTTATAAAACTATGCTGCCCTATTTGTTTGACCAAATAGGCATGTGATGTTTTTACTTTAGGGAATTAATGCAGCAATACAGAAGAAGGAGGATGGTCAGTGTATTTTTTGGTCATTGGATTTTCCTTTTTAGAAATGGGTATTACAAAACAAGAAACCAGTGGCTATTTGATTTTTGCTTTAAAATACAGGAATTAAAATTAAAATACAAAGCGTTTCTCAGTCTCAGTGTCAAAAATGGATGAGCAACATTTTAAAAACATGTTTAATTTTGGTGTATCATTTGGTCATTGGATTTTCCTTTTAGAAATGGGTATTAAAAAACAAGAAAGAAGTGGCTATTTGATTTTTATCTTAAAATACAGAAATTCAAATTTGTGGCAGTTGGTGTTTTTCCCTCTTTTTCCTGATTGGGTCTGAGCTTCAATTACCTGCAGCTGCAGCCACTCTCCTCATGAGCTCCTGGACCTTTAGAAGTCCTCCTTGGTCTTCTGGTCCTCGCTGAAGCGTCACGCCTCAATGGTAGTGTCGTTGCAGCTGCTTAAAGTGTTTTTTTCCCCTTCCTCTTTCAGTTTATTGGCTAACATAGTTACTTACCTGTGTCCAAGGTCTATTCTTGTTCCAGTCACCTGAGAGCTCATTCTGTAGGATTACAGTGCTGCAAGCTGCCTTACCTGTGCTCACCCTGCGGGCCTTACCTGAGCCCGTTTCCTGAGTCTTGTCCTCTCGTACTCCTGGGTTCCTGCTGCCGGTCACACTGCCTGAAGTTCACCTCCAAACTCACCTGGTGGGTCGCTCCACCCTTCTGTGCCATTCACCTCCTGGAAACCTGTAAGAAAGAAAACAAATCATATCACTTAACTTGAATCAAACCGTTTCTCATCAGAAACTCTTACCTTTTAGATCCAAATCCAGTCTGCTCACACCTGTAAATAACTTCACTTACCTTTTTTATTATTCTGCCTCCTGGTCTGATTAATCTCAGTGCTGCTCGCATTTGACTTGGTTTTTAGCTGTGAGAGACATGACATTATCAACGCTGCTGACTGATATGTGATGTAAATATCACATTTTCTATAGGTAAAATTAATCACAGCAATAAAATAACTTTGTCTGCTTTTTTTCACTTTAAAAATGGATTGCATCAGCGCTTAGATTACAGAAAGGAAGTTTCACTGATGGGAAATCTGTCGATCTGTGTTTAATCACCGTATTTTTCAGACTGTAAGCCGCACCGGACTATAAGCC